AATCAAAATTTCTTAAAAGTTGTTGCTTGTAACTTGCGATGTTTATGCAAATCGCAAGTTGTTGTAAAGGCATTTTAAATGACTCGTTTACGCCTAATCCACCACATTAAAATTAGAAAACTCGTTACTGTCTTGTTTAAATATGACTTATCCATTTTAAAACATGGAAAAAAAAATATCATCTCACTATCTCTTTAATGTTCTTGTTCCAAAATAGAGGGTGTTTTTTAATTAAGGTTCTTTATATATCAATTAAGTTTGACTTTTTTGAATTTTGAAAGCTTCCAGGTTATATTTTGCAATGTACTATCTACGAACTTGTATGTAAAATGTTTGATGATCATGCATACTTAGCTGCAAGCAAATACGATAAATACTGCTCATTATACAACTTAGACATGTTAGAAAACCAATTGTAAAATTAGAGGTACCAAAAACATTCCCACTTAGTCATAACAGAATCTTTTCTTTGATAATGTAGAAGGATACATGCTTAAATGCTATAATATCATTGATAGAGGTACCAGTCAGATAAACAAAGACAAGATTTGCTACTTCAAAACATGAAAGAGATTGTTTTTCAGAAAAAAGTTTTGTAGAATCGATTCTACAAAATATTTTCTGAAAAAAACAATTTCTCTCATGTTTTGAAGTAGCATAAGTAGTGATTAATCAGCGGTAAAAAATTTCAGCGTTTCAATCAAATGAATCAATTACATTTTTACTAGGAACTAAGCTGTAATGACTTCTTCTTGAAATAATTAAATTATTTGTACTTGATTTTAAACTTCCAAGTCAGCTTGTAGCAAAGTACTATTTATCTGAAGCAAGCTTAACTGCAATCTTGATTAAATAATTATAAAATCTAATACGATGAAGAATAATCTTTGCTCTCTTTTATTCTTTACTAAATGTTAATCAGTAATCTTTTCCTTGTGCTTGGCGTTGAGGTGACGAGTCACCGTGTAATATACATCGTTTCTTGTATAACAAACACATAAATATTCTTTCTTCACTTTGGTAAGGATAATTTAAAATAGGCAGTCTAATGTTTGAATTAAAATTAAAATCTGCCTTCAACAAATAGCAACTCAATAGCAGTTAAAACAGCATCGAAAGCATTCAAATTTTCAAAGTCTGCTTTCAAAGTCATTTTTAAAACATTTGATGCACTCTCAGTCCGGTCACCCCTTACAGCTCAAGTTATTTTACGAAATCTATAGAAAACGGTACACGTTTCCAGACTAGTTAAATACTATGACTATGGTTAAACCAAATAATTTATTACGAAACATTAGAAAAAAAAACAAATCAAATCAGATTTATTTTATGTCTGATTAGATTTCGTTAAACTTTTAGAAATATAAACTAAACACATTTTTTAAACAAACTAAAATATCAAGATTCATAAAATAAATAAAATATATTATTTAACAACCAAGTAAACTACTGAAGCATAGAAAAACAACATTCAAAATCTTTTCTTTCTAAAACAAATTGCAGACAGACAATCAATACCATGATCTATAGTATGCGGAATATGTATAAAATTTGTTTTCATTTTCTTTGTTTGCGTTATAGGAGTAGGTACTTGCATACTATTCTGTTGGTTATTTTTGGTTGGATTATATTTTCTCTTGCATAAGAACGGTAGTGGTTCCTAAAATAAATAATATCAAAATAAAACTAATAAACTAATAATATCTTAAACACTAAAAATAACATATACAGTAATAGAGCATTTTAAAGAAACAAGGAAAAAAAGTAATGACCTAATTTTTATTAAAAAAAATTACATTATCTCCACAATATTTACTATTGAGCAGCTTAAATATGTATTAGTTAGACTGCGGTTCACGTATTTCATTGAAACAATTTATTGCACTAAATAAATCAACAAAAAAAACTATCAATCGTATTTTCTCTCTATTTCTCTCTGTTTTCTATCCAAACAGCTCCAATGTACTCAACTATACTTTTTTACAACTATAACTATTTTTAAATATACTTTATACAACTATACTTTATACAACTATAACTATTTTTAAAACAAGACTTTTTATACTCATACATATTTGTTTGTGTAAAATAACTTACAGAAAAATACAACTTTAACTTATACATTGTATAATTGCTTAGTGAAAACTATACTAAAATTAAAGTGTTAAAATGTTTTAACTAAAGGCCTGTAAGGCTTTGAAATTTTAAAATCGAATCGAATCAAAAATATGATTCGAGTTGCGATTCGAAAATCAAATCCTTACTTATTTTGTTTACGTTGTGGGTATTTTAGATATTCTGCGCTTTGGCGCAATCAAAATAACGTTACTTATCCTTAAATACCTTTTTCATCAGCCTTTAAAAAGCCTTTAAAAGTATATTTTTTCTGATAACAACATTTATAACGTTTATTTTTAAAAATAATTTGATATAAAATTAAGTTAATTATTTAGAAACTTTTTTTTTCAGACATCATTAATAGCTTTTTTTATGAATCAATTTTAAGGATTAAATCATGTATGGAATATATATATATATATATATATATATATATATATATATATATATATATATATATATATATATATATATATATAATGAAAATTGTGCAAAATTTTATGTTGATTTTTCCACCAAACAATATCATGGACTAAAGGTGCAAGCACAAATCCGTTTTTATACAACATCCATATAACTTTACAGGAAAAATCTGCTTTATTTATTAAGCAATTGTCAGACAAATATTTTTTTATAACAACGCTTTTTAACAATCACATGGATTGTTAAAAAGCGGTAAATCTGCAGTTAAGCAGCCTAAAATAGTTTTATTTTTTCGCTTGTTGTGATCTCGCATAAAGACATGTTTAAAGTGGTGACTTTTTACTATAGGTTGCTTTTATATATATATTTTTTACTATGCTTGAATTTTTTTTACAGTTTTGCCAGTAAGTTTTTTTTTTTTAATTGATTAATTGGTTTAACTATGTATGTTAGTATATTTAACTATACTAATTTTATATTATATAAACATAATATATATATATATATATATATATATATATATATATATATATATATATACATATATATATATATATACATATATATATATATATATATATATATATATATATATATATATATATATATATATATATATATATATATATTATATACTATATATATATATATATATATATATATATATATATATATATATATATATATATATATATATGTATATATATATATATACATATATATATATATATATATATATATATATATATATATATATATATATATATATATATATATATACATATATATATATATATATATATATATATATATATATATATATATATATATATATATAAATATATATACATATATATATATATATACATATATATATATATATATATATATATATACATATATATATATATATATATATATATATATATATATATATATATATATATATATACATGTATATATATATACATGTATATATATATATACATGTATATATATATATATATATATATATATATATATATATATATATATATATATATATATATATATATATAGATTGAAAATATATATATTATATTTATATAATATAAAATTAGTATATTTAAATATACTAACATACATAGTAAAACCATTTTTATCAAACTTACTTAAAAAACTGTAAAAAAAACTCAAGCAAAGTCTACTTGTAATTCTTACCCATGAAATATTACTGTCATCAAAAAATATCTATTTAATATTTATCTAACTAACTGCAAGTTAAGCCATATGATACTGTTAAATTATCAAATTCAAAACCTTATAAAGAGGCAACAGAGAAGGCTTTATAAATAACTACTAAAGTCACGCAAGCGTATTGAGTTCTCGAATTGAGTTCTCTCATATATATATATATATATATATATATATATATATATATATATATATATATATATATATATATATATATATATATATATATATATATATATATATATATATATATATACATATATATATATATATATATATATATATATATATAGAGAGAGAGAGAGAGAGAGAGAGAGAGAGAGTGTGAGAGAGAGAGAGAGATTGAATATATATATATTATATTTATTTTATATAAAATTACTATATTTAAATATACTAACATACATAGTAAAACCAATTTATCAAACTTACTTAAAAAACTGTAAAAAAAACTCAAGCAAAGTCTACTTGTAATTCTTACCCATGAAATATTACTGTCATCAAAAAATATCTATTTAATATTTGTCTAGCTAACTGCAAGTTAAGCCATATGATACTGTTAAGTTATCAAATTCAAAACCTTTTAAAGGGGCAACAGAGAAGGCCTTATAAATAACTACTAAAGTCACGCAAGCGTATTGAGTTCTCGAAATGCAATACGAACGGTCAAACTTGTAATATAGAATTAACAAGACGTTGAATTAACGTGGAATCAACGTCGATTTTAGTTGACAGTTTTTAACAAACTTTCAACGTTGATACAATGTTGATTTTTAGTTATACGATGTCGCGACTAAAAATCAACTGTAAATCAACGTTGAAATAACGTTGTGTGCACACTGGGGTAATTTTAGGAGATAACTTCATGAGCTGGGGCCAATGCTATAAACAATTCGAAGATTTTATCGGGAAAAAAATTCTTTCGTAAAAACGAAATTTTTTAAGTAAATTATTTTACGAAAAATTATTTTACGAAAAATTACGAAATTACGAAATTATTTTACGAAGTAAATTATTTTACGAAAAAAAATGCGTAAACACGAAATTTTTCTCGCTGTTTGATTTTTTTTTGACCATTGCTATAAAACATAAGGAAATAATACGTCACTCACAACTACGATTTTTTTTTTAATTGTTATGCGAATTCTATCAATTCTATGCCAAGACAGTTTTCAACATTTTAGTATTTGGTTTTTAAAAAACTGTATCTAAACTTACAATTTTAAATGGATTTAATTTTTTCTGATGAAGACATAGATTTAGAAGTTGCTGAGAATGAGCTTAACCACCGATTGCCTCAAGAGGTTTGCGTATAAAACATTGTTAATTAAAACTAAATAACTGTCATGTCTAGTTGATCGGAAGAGAGGTATAAGTTTTTCGATCGAACAACTAAGCACATCTAGAAAGCTTAAAACGCGTGAACTTTTCTTTAAAAGATTGTTTTCCTTACTCGCAATTTTATAGTAATTTGTTTTAAATTTAATATTTTAGTTTAATGGCACAATGGCAGTATGTGGACCCGACACATACATATACTATGCTTCGACGAACAGTCCAGGAAGATGGCATGATGCACATGTAAGTATACTAAAAACTTATTTTTGCAACTAATGGTGCACTAATAAGGCTTATCTTAATATAAATTAAATTTTAATTCCAAATGATATTGTTTAGGTTATAAGAAATTCTAATCTTTGGAACATATTCGAAAATGGAGAGCTTCCTTTTAATGGTGCTGTGATTTTGGCGGACTCAGCTTACCCATGTCGAAAATGGTTAATTCCACCTTTTCCCGGTGATCCAGACGGTGCACAAAAACGTTTCAACATTGCGTATAGGAAAACCAGAAGCATAATTGAGCGTTGTTTTGGTATTGTCAAAGACAGGTTCTATGCTTTGAAAACAGGAATTCACTTGCATAAGGTTGAAGATGCCTCTAAGCTCATCATGTGTGGATTTGTTATCCATAATCTATGTCTTCGATATGGAGATAACGATAATGATTTTGAAAAATGCGACGAAGAACAAGCTTCTGAAAATCTAACTCAAGCAGATCAAAATGATGGAGCTTTTAATAGACGAAATCAACTTCTTAATAACTTTACTTAAAATAAATGAATAAAAAAACTTTTAATAAAATTATTACCGTTATCTCCATATAATATATATTCTTCTTTGTTCTCAGGCATGAGGTCTATAACTATATTTTAGACATGGATCAAGGATTTGTGTTTAAAACATTAGGAACAATAATACTAAAAAAGAATACTAAAAAAAAGGAAAATATCAATGATAAATAATTAAACAAAAATGAATAATTTATTAAACGCAAGAAATTTTTATAGAACTTTAGACCGTTACAGTTAAATGTGTAAACTCCTTTGGAATGTTTTTTAGGCACACCAATTTTTTTTTTTAATTAAAGTATTCTACTATTAGAAAGGTTGAACAGGTGCGAACTTCAAAAATGCGAATCTACATAAGTGCCAGTTTTTACATGTGCAAAGCAGTTGCAATAACTGGCTTCGGCGCGAGTCTTCTAAATTTCATAACAAAATAAAGTACATACAATGGCTGATACTTGGGACACTTGCAGCAAAATGTACATACATAGATTTACTATTGGGTTTTGGGAAGGAAAGCTGATACATTTTCTTTAATTTATTCATTTATTATAAAAGAGTTAAAACTGTCACATATATGCCAGTTCGCACTTATGCCAGTTTTATTATAATTGCTTTGCATTTGTGAAGATTTGCACTTATGCACGTTAGCACTTCTGCCAAATGCTAACAATAACTTTAAATTTTGAAAATTCATTTTAAATTGTATAACAAAATCCCCTTTTAGGATTTCTTTAAAAGTGGCCCCTGTTGTGCCCGTGCAGGCCACGGGGATAAATAATAAAGGAAATACTATTAAATTAAGATTCTAGTTATTGTCTTGTTTCTACAAGAAAATGCAACACAAAGAGTTCACTTTAGTTAGAAAGTGGCAATTTATCATTCATTAGCTGTGTTGCAGTCGTATAATATTTGGTTAAAGCTTTCTCTTTTTGTATTTGCTATTTTCTGAGAGCAACATCCAATTTCAAAAGCTGAAGTCGTAAAGATTGCTCTTTTTGTAATTTTTCTTTTTCCAAGCCCAAAACACTTACTTTCAATTTTTTAAAATTTCCATCTACCAAGAGACTTTCTCGAAATTGTTTTCTTTTCAGACTTATTAATGCTCCAGTTGATATTTTTTTTAGGTGAATCTGTAAAATTTAATTTTAGTATTTAACAGTTAAGTAAATATCTAGCTACAAATAAAATTTAATTTAATTACTGTAAAATTCTAATAATCTATTTAATTAAATATTAAAATTTCCAAATTAAAAAAGTATATAACCTTGAAGTATTGATTCAGTAAAAGCATAAGTGTCTAAATGAGAGGTACCTGTTTTATCAAATCTTGGACCTAATGCAAATAATTAGTTTATAGTTAGAATTTATTTAATACATTTTAACAACAAGTAAAATATTAAAACTTTTGTTATACATAAAAATCTTATATCTTATTAAACAACTTGACTCAAATAATTAAAGTATACCAGATATAGATGAAATAAAAGAAGCTGCAGTTAAGGACTGTTCGGAGACAATTGACCTAATTTCTTTACTTGATGTTGAAGGTTGACTGGAAGTGAGTGGAATTACCTCATCACTTGAACCAAACGAGATATTAATATCGGGAACATCAATTCCTGGCACATTTATTGATTTTCTATTGACAGTCTAAAGCTTCATTGTCCAATTCTGTTAATTGGATTCCCTCAGCACCTGACAAAGCAATGGCTGATTAAGTAAAAAATAACTAATTTATAAAAAAACCCATGAAAACATATATATACATTTATACATACATACCTACATACCTACATATACATACATACATACATACATACATACATACATACATACATACAAACATACATACATACATACATACATACATACATACATACAATCAAACATACATACATACATTTATACATACATACCTACATATACATACACACATACATACATACATACATACATACATACATACATACATACATACATACATACATATATACATACAATCATACATACATACATACATACATACATACATACATACATACATACATACATACATACATACATTTTATTGACTAGATTTTGTAAACACAAATGACTAATCTTATAGAACAATCATATTAAACTTTGTGTAACAAATTTATATAGAAAGCCCTAACAGATACATTTATTTTAAAATTACCTGTTTTTAGACTTTTAGATAACTTGTGAATTGTAGCTCTTCGCAAATAATCTTATTCTCCACTACGTAGCTGATTAATGTTTTCAATTTTTGCCCCTAGACTGTTTAAACTTGACATTATATCTTCCCAAATTCTATTCCTATGTATCATGGCAATACATGGACCTAAAATGTTAAAAGAAAATTGGCTGAATCATTATATAAATAAAAAATTTGTTTAAAGTAAAGTATACTTCTACTGCCTAGTAGAATGCAAAAGTTTATATATATATATATATATATATATATATATATATATATATACAGATATATATATATATATATATATATATATATATATATATATATATATATATATATATATATATATATATATATAGATAGATAGATAAATAGATAGATAGTTTACTAATTAAAACATACTAAGTTTTCCAAGAAGAACATCTTTGTTATCTCTGATCTTCAATGCAAGAACCATTTCAAGTTCTTTAGACAACATTTTATCTTCTTGTGTTGAAATAAATGTGAAAATATTTTGCCAGTATTTATGCATTTTCTTATGTCGAGCATTAAAATAAATTTGGTTAACCAAAATAACCATTGAAAGTTTAGTTGGGAAACCATTGAAAGTTAAATACAAACATACATATATAGCTTCCAACACACAACACGGAACTGAGTGATCTATTAAATGTAATTAAGAAGTAGTTTGTTTATTAATGAGTTTAGCGACAAAGCAAGAATATTAAAAATTTTTTGCCAATTTCTTTGTGGAAAGTAATAGCTTTGTGTAGGTATGTTGAGTTTGATGACTTATTGTTTGTGTCTTTTATGTCTACATAAAACACTGCTATGTAAAATGCCTCTAATAATTTTATATATCTTTGGGGGTTGAATAAACTTCATAGCAACAATGCTTTTTAGCTAGTACATACAATACCCACATAAAAACATACATTGTAAGTTTAAAGCGCTAGCGTTGTTATAACAACGGCGGCAAAAACTTCGAGAAAACTAAAATTGAGATCCAAAAGTCTATCTGAAGTTTTTTATCGAAAAAACGAATTTTTTATCTAAAAAAGTGATTCCCTTGGTCGTTTATAGCATTGGACTAAATCGCGAAGTTTTTATCTTAAAAACAGATTTTTTCGTATGTTTATAGCAATGGTTTATTATTTTTTTTCACTTTTTACGGAAAAAACTTCGAAAAAACGGATAAAATTCCGTTTTTTTTGTTTATAGCATTGGCTCCTGGTTTAACACAGTTTGAAAATTTTGGGCCCTTATACCAAAAACAACTCCTATGAAAACCCTTTTGAGGGGTGTTAGTACATATCATAGGGATCTCATAACAAGTAATTTTGAAATCCGGGATTACCGTCCGCAAGACTTATTCAACATTGAAGTTTTTGTTTTTAAATTACGAAACCTGAAAAATTGCAAAATTCCTCTAAAAATATTTGGCTGCCCTAAATTACCATATTATTAAGTAAAAAGGTAACAAATGATAAAAATACATCTTAAAACATTTATTCATTACAAAATAAATACATTCTAAAGATAAACTAATAAATTCTCAAAAATGCAACATGTTCATTGATGATCAGTGCTTCATAGCAAGCTACTCTACATTTTCTTGCTGTTATAATCAATGACACACTTCAGGAATTGACTGGAGTAGTCTGAATGGGTGTTCAATCTTTTGTATCGCTCCCAATGGTTGCCAAAATTCGAATTTTCTTTTTCAGCTTGATGAATTATCACATGGTGGAAAACAGTGGGAACCTTTGGAGTAACAGAGATTCCCAAACTCATGTAACTGTTTTTAAAGATGGTAGTTTTTTCCTCATAGTTGGAGTGTTTCTTTACCTTTAAGCCTCCCAATTCGGCAGATCAAACAATCACAGGTGTTTGAACTTCGAGTTGCCGGTTTTATTTGGATGTCTTCAAACCTGTACAATCTTGGTTTACACGTCTTAGGATCCCCATCTTCAAGCTTTTTCAGTTTAAAACGACATGAGGCAAAAGGAGTCTGACATGAGGCAAAAGGAACTCTGCAGTCATTGAAGCTCTGCAGTCATTGAAGCTCAGATCATTCTTGATGAGGCGCTGAATCCTTTGCTTTAAAAAGTCTGTCAGAATTTGTTCTCCTTTTTTCATGCAGATAATGCACACAGATTTTCGACAATCCTCATGGGTTTTTGCTGAATTGGGCATTTTTGATGCACATTCTACGAATTTTTCTTCAAAGCTATGATATTTATGCAGCCCTTTCCTGGAAAACAATCGCCGTCATTTTGTTGACATTATTTTGGTGATAAGAATTTTAAAAAATCACACTGGTGTTTTAAAATACACCAAATACCATCAAGTAACACTTTCTTAACCTTTTAATACTTGTTATATTTAAAAAAGTTGTGTAAACTTGTGTCTCTGAAAAAAAACTCTGAAAAATCCCTGATTTCAAAATTACTTGTTATGAGATCCTATCATATGTACTAACACCCCTGAAATTGGTTTTCATAGGAGTTGTTTTTGGTATTAGGGTCCAAAATTTTCAAACTGTGGTCAGACTATGTTGTGGGAATCATCGGGTTACATTTGGAGGCAGATTTGGTATTAATACAAGTGTTGAATTAAGCGATCGTGAAACAAAAAATCCGGAAAAATAAATGGTCTTCAAATTTTTAGTTTATGCAAAATTGGGTAGTTTGTTTTTAAGGAGCAAATTATTATAAGTTTGTTAGCGAAAAAATTATAAAAAACAAAACAATAAATTTACGACTTCAAAGGTAATAACGCTC